AATTTTATTGATTAAAAATTTAATGGTTACAACTAAAAATTGAAAATTTATTTATAGAGTAAGCAATATGCAATACAAGAAAAAAAAAATTCTAAATTAATTATAAAAAATTAAATATAAACTGAAATGGGAAAATACTAAAAATAGATAGCATTATAATCAAAATAAAGTAGATATGATCTGCCATCTTTTAAATGAAAAATATCTTAATTAATTATGGAGATGATTAAAAAGAGAATCATGAAAGATTTTAACCTATTTAGGAAAGAATTAATTGCTCTCATAATCTCTTCAAAGTCCATGAGATTTCAATGTCCCATTAAGGCATGAGATCTGATTTCCTCCTCTTGATTTCCTATGCAGTTTAGTAAGAAAATCCCCCCTTGATTGACTCACCCTTTAAGGAAGAAGATTGCTGGCAGGTTTGGGAGAAGAAATCCCTTATGGGATCGTTCTTTTCCACTTGCATTGAGATATATGTGCCAAGATGTCCTTGGATTAAGGGACTTATTTTCTTCTTGTTTTGGGCTTATTTAAATGATCCAATACCATAACCACATTATTCCATTTTTTAATGAAGAGTTGAAAAGTTTGTTATAATCTTTTTACTCTCCCTCTTGTAATGGCCTACTTCATATTATAATATTTTTATGGTCCACACACACGTAAAAAAGAGGAGCCAATTTTACCTTGTACCTGCAGTCCCAGTCGCCGGAGCACTACGCACCACCGCGCGGGCCGCCACCTGCAGGTAACTAGAATCACCATACGCCGTCACGTTTTAAGGTGCACTGCCACCTGTGCCTACACGCGCCGACACACACACTGTTGGAATCACCCTGGACGGTGTGGTACGCGCTCAGATTCGCCTCGTCTCCTATCTCGTTCGGAGATCCAGAACGGATCATGCTGCCATCGTCCACGCTGCCTCTTCTCTCACCAGACAGAATCGATTTGCCACGACGCCGATCTTCTTCTTTTGCTGCACGCAGAGGCGGTGTTTCCTGGCTGCGTCACGCACCAACAGCTGTGTAGATTTGGATATGACTTTCTGTTCTCCCTGCATCGCGCGTCAATAAAGCCTCCTTCGTCTCCTGTTCAGATCCGGCCGCGTCCAGAACAAAACGCCACTTCTGCAAATTGGGAATGGCACAACACCGCTTCGATGCTGTCGTAACACCCGACCGCACGATTCATCTTCCCCAGTGCGCCTCCTTTTTCTCTTCTCACTCTTCTTCTTCTTCTTCTTCTTCTTCTTCTTCCTCAAAACGATGTCGTTTTGAGGTTTCTCAACATGGCGTCGTTTTGGGGTTCCTCAAAACGACGTCCTTTTGATCTTATCTGCTTCCGGTGCCCAGCCGTTTTGAGGCAAATGGGTTGGTTTATGAAAATTATCGAATGACCCCCAAATCTTGTAAATTTATTCATTTAGGTCCTTGTTTAATTATAGAGTGGCTTGGACTCTTCAAAATTTATTTTCAATTTGGTCTTTTTTCCAATTTATTAATTTTTAAGGTTACGTTTTACATTTTTATATTTTAGGACTCATTTTTACTTCCAAAGCGTGAATTTGCATTCAAATTCTAATTTACACAAACTAAGGTGTTACATAGGGGAAGTAATCTAACCCCTAATCCTACATATATATTATGAATTTATTTAATTAATAAATTTAGTTGTGTGGATGGTTTCGTTCAACTACTTCTATGAAAATACTAGTTATATGGTTTAAATTTGGATTATTAATTTACTTGTAAATTAAATACAAATTTAAAATTTTGGTAAAGTGATAATAACAATTAAAAACAACAAATCTAATTTACCACTTTATTAATTATTTCGTTGAATCTGTAACTGTAAATTTTTCGAATACAAGATTTGGTAATATTTGAATTGGAATAATTAATTTTATGATAAAAATATTATAATATATGATACATAATTGATGATGTGATTTGATTTTATATCTATTTTAGATAATATTTTATGTATATCTTGATAAGTATTATGAGAAAAAATTTCAGTATTTTGTCTATGTATAATTTTATAATTTTATTGGTGATGTATTTTCAAATTTTGTTATAATAAATTTTTTTTTTATTAATTTTATCTGTGAATATAGATATATTTATTAAATTATGATAAATTTTATATATTTTTTTATTTTATTATATATTTTATGTGATTGTGTGAATATTGTGAATTTATTTTCTCAATAATAACTTAAGTTATTAATTGGATAGAAAAAAAAATGACACGTAATTAAAACCCATGCCCACGTTTATTGCATATTGTTAATTATAATTACTTTAATGCTGCAGTACACCTACTCATCTCTTGAGCGAATTAAGATCATGTAGTACTGTCAACATAGACACATATACATATATATATATACTTTAGCTGTATGTATCTATATGACTATAGATATATGATGATTATATGTATATATGGATATTGGTGCAGGCACATATATATATATATATATAAAAGGGGAGTCGCTAGGCATGATGTGAGCAGCGATGAGTGCATTGACAAGTGAGAGAATCCAAACATCTTTCGGTGTAGAGACGCTCGAAATGGCTTAATTCACAGAGTTCCCGGCATGTCTCTGCACTGCAATGACCTTCCATCAACATCTCATACTTGTCTTCGCATATCCCTTCATGTCCGTACTCCTCGCCTAACCCCCCTGCATTACGTACATATACATATGCATATACATATATACATGCACACATACTCAGATTCTTCCACAACAAAAATATTACTGTCTGAAGCTCAAAAATATTAGAAAAGAAAACACTACAAAGTAGAAAATAAATTACCTTTCTTGCGCTAGTAAATTACAAAAACAGCAATGTATATATGCCAATAATAAAACTACATATATATATATATATAATTAACTGAGAAAGAGAGAGGGAGAAAAGTAGAGACCTAAAGGAAAGGCAATGAAGAGTAAAACCCCAATGGAAACAGCAATGACCTTCTTCATCTTCAGGATCACAACAACTATCAAGAAACTTTGTAATGTATTTGAGAGTACTTATTACAGAACAGTTTGGAGCAAATATATAAATGTGTGACAAGATGTTCAAAATCTCTATAATACTGAATAAGGCTTATTAGCAGCCGTTGGATTAAGTAACTGACATTATGTGCTTATATATGCTTATGCAATAATCTGTATATATATATATATATATGCGTTATAAAGGACAACCCAATTCACGTGAGAGATGGAGAGGAATCCTGCAAATGGGTAAACCATAATTATTATCATGTGCATAAGCAAACTTGTTTTGTTTTGAATTTTGACTGTCCATCCTCCTCGGCCGCACCCAAAACTGCCATTGTACATACACCACCTTTTTGTTTGTCTCTTGCTCAGATGAGCTGGATTTCACCTCATAAACAAATAAATTGTCTGACTGGGACTACTCTACTAATTAAACAATATTATATATATATATATATATATTTGACAAAATGTATTTTTCTTTTTCTGTTGTCTCCGAGTTTGAATTTTAACTTAAGTATCTAGATTCTTTTTTAAAGTTGTTGATACTTTCATGGGTAAAGTTTTTTTTTTTTTTTTTTAAATCTATTTTAATTGAAGGAGATTCTGATTTTTAACTATTTTTGTTACCTAAGAAATGAGAATACATTGATACGTATTGAATTGCAACTACAAAAATGGTAAAATTATTTTTAATTATTTATAGAAAGATGTGGGTTTCTACGAAAGATGATGGGAAAAAAATAAAATAGAAAGAAACACTGTTTAAAACTTTTCAATGTAAGAAATGATATTTATATATAATGAATTCATGGGTTTTGGCATAATAATAAAAGAGAAAGGAGAGAGTAATTTTGTATAAATTTGTTAAATAGATTCATTTTCTCAACAAAAAAAAAACTAAGAAATCATTTTTAATTATTGTAATAATGGACATTACTTTTATAATTTTTTTTTGAAAAAAAAAACAATTAATAAAAATATAAAAGAATTATTACATTCGAATCTAATAAAATTATTTTAATGCCCTCTATTTGAAGTGGATCAAATAAAATAAAATTGAGTCCATATCATAATTAAATAATTCGAACATATTAGCTCTTTTTTTTTTCTTTCAGTTAATTTCATCAACAAAATCGAATTGTAATGTTGTTTTATCTACAAAAAGAAACAAATATATTTTAGAAAAATATTTCAAAAAAACTTATTTTACAAACTTGAAGAAATATCAGTTGGTAATTTCCGGTATTATATATATATATATATATATTTCAAAAACAAATATATTAATGCAACCCAATTTGAATATTATCTCATTAAATTTTTATTTTATAAAAAACTTCATTTACAAACTTAAAAAATCAGTGTAAGATGGACAATCTTTTTGTGCATGGCTCACATTGGTTGAACTTGAGAAACTCTTTTCATTTGTAAATTGGTAAAACTCCCGAATACCGATATACAATAGGAGACAAACTCATCTTACTTCAAATTGGTAAAACTTTTGAACACATGCTTCCATACCCTACAAAAAACTATCATTGATACGACGAGTCCCATGTCGTTTGATCAAGTGAAGGGAAATTCTTCATTTGGCACGAAAACCAAAGCACTTTTAGGTGCATACAATTCGACCCTTTAGCACGGCAAGTGCGTACTCTGGGTTAGAACATTATTATCAACTTGGGGTCAAATACAATTTTAAACATGAGTTTTTAACACTTGTTTTTCATCAGTTCGTCATTTATATAGTCGATAAATTAATATCAATTCCATATGATGAGATTGCTGTCAGAAATAAGTTAATACTTCACACTTTAATGCCAAAATTTTTAAAATAAAAACTTTCTCTGATTTACAGTGCACGTAATCTAACTAAACCCACCAAATTTTTATTTTTAGTGCAAAAAGTAAACCCACAAAATTGTAAATTTGTAATATTAGTTTAACTGTTTGAAATCCTTTAAGAAATTACCAATGTGACTAAGAAAGTGGATACTTTATTCACTATTGACCTTCGGGACAATATGATCAAGATGGGTCGGTAAAATCATCAAGAAGTTCACAGTCAATTTTCTGAAAATATAATTTACGGTTATCAAGATCATAAGCTACATTACATTATAGTACTGCTGAGCCATTAAGCCAATTATGCTGAAATTCGTGTGAGCCATACCATTTTCAGTGGAAGGTCTTACAGCCATGCAAAGCACATCTGGATATGGTGAAGCTGAGAACTGATAAAACATGCTCTCCTTCTCCAACACCAAGTCAACATCTCCAGCAAAATGAAATGTTACAGCAGGAAACCCAACAAGATCTCTACCAACCTTCCCGTTATAGCACAAATCATTGCCTTGCCAATACCGTGTCAAGACTGGATCCAAGAACCTTTTAACGTCATCTCGAAATAGCTTATACGCATCCTCGGCAAGCCAGGTAAGAGCTGTTCCAGAATCTATCACAATTCCCGATAAACGCCGATCGGTTCTTTTGAAGATACTAGGGTCAATGTCAAGCCTTTTCTGATCTATGCTGATCCACTCAAGAGTTAGGTAGTAGAAAACACCACTTGTCTCTAATGGTGTTGAGTCACCTTCTATTTCAGATTCATCACCTAAAACTAGCTGATTATAGCTATAATGAGCATCGTTTATA